CCCCCCTACCCACCCTTGCGCACAGCCCCGAGCCATCCCCTCCAAGGCAGGAGATCCCCCGGCCAGCACAGCCCACATTGTCCCTGCAAAACGTGGGCACCCTCCTGCCCGCCATCCACCCCCACCCCAGCTCCAATGTCAGCCCGGCTCTTAGAGCAGCTCCGCTTTGCTGCCGTTGGAGCAGGTGGGGGCAGACAGTAAAAATAAAACAGCGTCCCCCCTCCCAGGCAGCACAGATTGGGAAATGAAGTGCTTCGAGCAAAGGTTTTGCAGGGCGCCGTCAAACCCAACAGCTTGCGCCTTCCTCGGCATATGTGCAAGCGAGGGGAAAAAAACCACAAGGCACTTGCTTGAAATAGCAAGAAATTCTCACCTCGGCTAGGGACTGAGTTTTGGCTGAAACAAGCAGCAATTGCAGGGTTTAACCTCTCTGCTGGGAGGGGTAACTATATTTGCATGTGTCCATCAAAACAAGGGGATTTTGTAACAAAAAAAAAAACTCCCTGGCGAGCATGAAAGAGAAGGGAATGGGATGGGAAGTGCAAGGAACCGCAGGAAGAGTCAAATAGCGACTTTTGTGCAGCGCACACAGAGCACTTTTATCAGGGCTGCCAAAGCACTCGGTCAACTCCAAGAGGCATAAACAGCGAGCCAAATTTATACCGTAACCTTTCTTTATTCCAGCAGAATTCGTTTTAAAAACAGCCATAGCATTTCAAGGTTTGTTTGCTTTAGTAAAAACAGGCTTTCTAAAATTGCACCCACATCTTTGGGCCTGGCCTATAAAAAGGCTGGGGGAAATGGAGCAGACTGGGGCGAAATGTGCTTTTTTTTTGGCTGGGGAAAAAAGCCCGCCAGCGCCGGGGGCCAGGCTCCCTCCTGCGAGTGAGACGGGAATACGCTCCGGCGAAGCACGGGCGGTGCCTCAAAAAGGGCTTTTCGACCCCAAAAAGGAAGGGGATGGCACAGGGGCGCCGGGGGCACCCGGCGGGGCGGGTGTCAGTGCCACCTCCCGTCCGCCGTGCCGCACTGCACGGCCGGAGCTGCGGGAAGGCCCTATTGCATCACCCGGATGGATGGAAAAATCCCGAGTACAGGAGCTGCTTCCCCGGGGATGCTGCTCCGCCGTGGGGATCGCTGTCCCCACGGGGACATTTGCCACCACGGCCGCCTTTCAGACCCGGCAGCACACAGAGCACGCTAGCAGTCCTCCATCATTACAGAATATATTTTATTTATGGCATTTTACAAATAACTTTTACACCTCACATGACATAAGTTATGTTCTTTGTTTCAACAAGTATTTCTTACAACACCTGAGTTATTAAAATACTGAGATGGAACTTGAGCTTCTAACCAGACATGGAAGAGGGAAACACAGATTAAAAACCCCATACGAGCTCAGGTGGTGCCACGTTCCCTTCTCATTCTCCCACTGGGCTCCATCCCCTCCCCAAAGGTTGGTACCAACCTGCCCGAGCTCGACACGGGTGCTCTGCCCTCCCGCGGTCCCAGGAAGGTCCCACAAAGCTCTCAGCAAGGAGCCTTGTTTCTCCACGGGGATTTGCACCCCTCAAGTCTCAGAGTTGATGCAGTTGGCTAGAAATCGGGTTAAAATTGAAGTGGGGAGAACACGGACTCGTGATTTCCACGCCGTATCGAGAGCCTATACCAGCTCCGAGGAATCCCGGTGCCGGCTTGTCCCTCCGAAACGCAGGTGACCTCCCAGGCATGGCACGGTCCCCAGGGGACAACTTCAGGTGATTTCCCCTGGCCACCACAAGGTCTTCCTGCCCTGCACCCCTCCGAACTGCCCAGCTCAGGCAGTGCCCTCTGCCCCGTGGAAAACTGCCAGGAATACGGTGCTTTCCAAACACTTCCTTGAGAGATAAGTGGCAACGTGCACGTCGCCCTTCCAAAGGATTCGGTTTTCCCACACCACGTTAGTGAGGGTTGGAGGAGCTTGTCATCCCTCGGCTCCGACCCAGAAGGTGTCCTGGGGAGCCGCTGCAAAGGCCATCGCTGCCTGTGTCACCTCGCAGGCCTGTGGCACCTTGAGATATTGGTGGTCACACAAGAAATGCCACCAGTTGCCAGCTACCTAGCTCTGAGCCTAGACAAGACAAAGAAATGCCCAGAGGGGACAAATGTAGAGGACAAGTGAGGAAAACGGATGCCACCCAAAGGTGGCATCTGCATGAGAAAACAACTGAGCATCTCCCTGTGCAGCAGCAAGGGCCCAGGGCAACACATTCCCGCTGCGCCCCTGGGTGCTCCCGAGACGCTCCGGTATTTTACCTCCGGGATGCCAATGGGACCTAGCAGAGCCACCAAGAGCAGAGCTGCCCATCCCCTGGGGACTAGGAGGACCCTGGCAGGGGCCTAGGGACTCAGTGAGGACCATTGGGAGCGTCGGAGGAACAAAATCCGGCTCTTACCTAAGGCAAATTGGGAGCTACAACCAGGCACCGGCTGCTGGGCAATGCGGAGCCGGCCACAGGAGGTGCCTGCAGCCCCATAGGTTTGGGGGCTTGTCCCCTGCCTCGAGGCGGGTGGAAAGGGGGTACAGGCTCTGAGGACACGCTGCAACCTTCCCTTTCGCCTTGGAGAGCTCAAAGCAGTTTTCACGGCACCCTTCCTCCATCTACACCTCCACCTAAGCCACCCGAACCGGCTCCTGCTTGTCAGCGCGGCCACCAACTCCCTCCTGCTGGCTGCAGAAACAGGCACAGGGGACACAGGGACCCTCGGGCGACACGGGTGGGATGGGCAACATTATCAATATGATAATAAGTCAATTCACCTAGTGAATCTGGGGAAAACCAGCCCCGAAGCAGAGTCATGAAGCACCTGCACCCTTCTCTAGATACTCCCTAAGGCTGGAAATGCACAACGTAGAGAGGTTCACGGTCTCTTTTTTTTTCTATTTTCTTTCCAAAAAAGAAACCTCTCCCCACCCTGAACCTCTGCAACTCAGCAGCATTAGCGTTTACAAGCAGACGTCCCATCGCAGGTGCCATCGTGTGCTTGGTCACAGTGTAAAGAGCATTTCCCCAGGCAGGGAGGCCCCGCAGGGACCTCGTCCCAACTCTGCCCTTGCTCTCGTGCCCCTCTCTGCGGCCGCCCCGCAGGAGGAGCGGGAGGATTTTCCTCCTTAGGGCCACAGGGAGCCCGAGGGAGGTCCGATCTGCTGGGAAGCACTTTGGTCTCCCCTGCTCCATGTGCTGCTTACCCAGATTGTCCTCAAAAACCCTCGGCCCGCGCATCACGCAGCAGCTCCGATCATAAGGCTAGAGGAGCTCCTATATCCCAACTCCATCCTTCCCAGGAGATGTGAGGAGAGGAGGGGAAGGACACGACATTGGAAAGAGATCCTCTGGTCAGTCCGGTCCTTGGGCAAAGGGGATTTAGCCCCCCCAACCCTGGAATCATAATAATATGAAGTCTGTGGAACAGTTTCCAAAGCAATGCCTCTTCTCCTGTAGTGCTTTGTGCTGTCAGTGCCCGCACAGGTACCGTCGGATGCTTGCAGCAGGAAAAGAAAAGAAGACGATTCCCCCCACCCCCCCAAAAAAAAGAAAGGAAAAACGGATAAAAGTCTCTGCGGGCGGCCGGTCCTACCCTATCTGGATGTGGCCGGAGTACATGGTGAGCAGCACCATGATGGTGAAGCCCGTGAGCAGCCCCGCGTTCTGGATGGCGAAGGTGATGAGCGCGCTGCCGTGCTGCTCGTCCTCCCGGCTCACCTCGTTCATCTCGGGGAACTGCGGGGACAAGGGAGCGGGTTGAGCGGCAGGAATCCGCCTGGGAGAAGCCCCCAGCAGCCCCGCGTGCCGCGTTTACCATGTCGGCCAGCGCGATGTACAGGAACATCCCCCCGGCCAGGGCGAAGATCCAGTTGGCCGAGAAGTGGCTGCCGGCCAC